CGGTTGTCATTATCCTTTCTTTTACTGCTCCTCAAACCAAGATGCCTCCTCCTCCCCCTCCTCCGTCTGGGAGTGTCCCAAGTCGGCCGACGAAGGGCGAAGTCAAAGATAGGGTCAGTCGGAGACCGGTTCCTTGTCTTTCCAAGTCCCGCTGCTAATGTCCTGGTAGAGCGCGCTTCTTTCGGATATCACCAAAGGCACTAGACTGAAGAAGGCCGTCACAAATGACAGATCGGCACCTTTGATTGCGGGAGGAGGAGTTAAATCAGCTGCACCTCCAGTTTCAGGCGCACCTCCTGTTCCTGGCATGCCGAAACCCCCGAGCGGCCTGGCACCACCTGTTCCCTCAGCCAACCGACTACGAAGCAGTAGCGAAAGCGGCGGCGGTGGAGATAGCGGTACATCCACCGCTCCTCAACTGGGAGGACTCTTCGCAGGAGGGATGCCCAAATTGCGCAGTCGGGGTGGAGTTGACACAGGAGCCAACCGTGACTCGCCTTATCTGTCAGACTCAGAGGCTTCGCGAGCTCCGCGACCTCCTGTCGCTTCTGCTCCAAAGCCTCCAGGTGCTCGTCCACCACTGCCGCCGCCTTCTACAGAATCGCCGTCTGCCCCTCCGGTCAACCCGCTAGTTGCCAATCTGCGCAAACCTCCGCCGAGACCAGCCTCAAGGCCTTCGTCAACAGTCTCATCCTCTACAACGATCAAATCCGCCCCAGATGCCCCACCTCCACGCGCACCTCCTCCATTACCTGGTTCGGCGAAACTGCCAGCTCCTCCGTTGACGTCGAGGAAGCCGTCCTCGCCAGCTCCTCCACCTCCACCCACTGTTTCCTCCAGTCCAGCTGCACCTCCTCCACCGCCGCCGGCATCTTCAGCACGCCGACCGCCTCCTCCCGCACCTGCACGATCGACCCCTCCGCCCCCACCCCCGGCAGCAGCAGCTTCATCACCACATACAAATGGGGTAGCGGCTGCTTCTATCGCGGTGCAAGCTGCCAGGAACGCTCTCGGACATAGTAATCATGCACCATCCGCACCCCCTCCACCTCCTCCAGCAGCGTCCGCCCCTTCGGCGCCTCCTCCACCACCACCATCTGCGCCTCCAATGGCACCGGCAATACACCCCAGTCATCCGCCACCTCCAGCACAAACTTCAACACCGCCGCCTAGCCAGCCTGTGACCCGTTCGACCTTGGATCCGAGTGCTTATACCCTGACCAACGGCGGCTCGTCGCCCCGCTATCAGAACACGGGCTCGCATGGAATACTTCCAGTAGAAGACAATCGGTTTAAATTTCAGAGCGACGGCCTGCTTCCCAAGCCACGACCGTTTGTGGGAGGTCCCCGGCGGTATCGTGCTGGGCGAGGTAGCAGTGTACCGTTAGACTTGAGTGCGCTGAGCGGCTAAGCGGACGGCTGACTGATATTCTTTTCGAGAAATAAATGGATGCTCTGTGTTACTGCGCTGCTTCTGATCGTATTTGAGATACCGATAGTCCGCGGTCAATATGCATGCGGCTGTTAGTTTGTGTACATGATATCCCAGTCATGGATAATTTTTTATGAAATATCTTCCTGCAGGCGTTTCTTAGTACATTATAGTCATTCCTGTTTGTAGTCATTATCATCTCCTGCTTCACTAGACTTTGTTTGAGATATAGTTTTCTGAAGGTAGGCCAAGCTCCATACACGTGACTAGATACAGACGCGGAGCGGTGATACATAAAGTCATCGGATCTCAATGCGAAAGGCGGTACTGGATGTTGTGCTTGTTCAAAAATAACCACGGACGATTTCTTCTTGCGACGCAAATTCATTTTGTGAAGACAGTGCCATTATTCGAGTTGTCAGCGATAGATTGAACTTAAACGGGTCACGTCCGATCATCCAAGCTCATCTGCGAACCAAATCATCCGACTTGCCCAGATCACTCTGCTGTCACGGTGGACGAGGAAGGGCTTTCAATTCTGATTCTAGCTAGTGTCGGCTTTCACTGTTGAGATAGGACTTGGCATAGTGAGTTGCCGGCTGTCACTCCCAAGTTCGAGGAGCACCGAGGTACCAGCCCACTCTGCGGACTGCATTCGACTCGGAACTTTTTGTACTTGAACCACGTTAGCCCATCATTGAGCGGCCTCGCAGCTCCCCATCATGTCTCTGCACTCCTACATCAATAGTAAGTCATCTTCTTCTATGCAATAATGGAACTACGCGACGCAGGTATCACAGCATCGGTGGCTAACACAAATGTCGTAACGCTTAGAAAAGGTCCTCATTCTCACAGTTGACGGCCGCACCTTACTTGGGACACTCTTGTCGACAGATCAATTGACAAATCTTGTCCTATTGGACACAATTGAGAGAATCATCCGAACCCCGGATGACCCCGAACCGAGCTCGCAGATCGAACACGGTCTATACTTGATTCGAGGCGACAATGTGGTTCTGTGCGGTGAAGTCGATGAGGCGATTGATAATGATATCGACTGGTCGAAGGTGAAAGGTGAGGTTGTCAAGGGCACGAAAAACGCGTGAAAGACAATGGCACTCAGTTGTACGTGATGGGCAGCCTTTGCGACGCGTACAAGACTTGATTGAGTTGTCCCGAGGCTGTGACCGAAACCACGAGTCGGTGTTGAAACGTCAAGCAGCCGCAAGGCTTTGTGAAGAAATGCTTCTTTCCGAGCATGCTGAATACGTGTGGTATGCATCGGCTGCGACTGGGCTGCATTTTAGATGAATGATCTACTGCCATGATACATGAATACGGCTCACTATAGAAGGACGATACCATCACGATTGCCCGGCCTAAGAGCCGAGAGCATGATGGCGGTCTTGGCTGATCCTTGTACGTCTTGGAAGAACGCAAGAATGGGGAAAGCAAATCTAGTTGGAAGATACCCTTTAATCAGCAAAACCAGTTGTCATGGTTCTTTACTTCGGACTTGAAGCACGAGGGACTAAGAGATGTTCATGAAATCAGAGGCTCTCGCCTCGTGTGATATACTCGGGAAGTTCTCCGAACAAGACCTAGCACTGTCATGCATTCAAGCTTCGCTCTTCAGGCTCGTATACAGTATAATCTTCAGTACCATGCCATTCCTTACTGCTTCCGTATAAGAGAGTTCGTTTGCCTCTTCCAGAGCATCCCTCCTTGTCTGTACACTGGAGTACGGAGTAATCAGCATATTACCCAATTAGGCTAGCGTCGCTGTACTTGACTTGACCATTGTGGAATTTCCATAAACTTGGTTGAGCTGCAACTTGCAAGAAACAACGAGAAACCGTCCCCTGAGCTGGGACGAGACGAGAATTGATCATAGCTCGACTTCTATCTACATAGTAGACTGCTCATCAAATATTGGGTGCGAACTCTATGATTCTTATCTGTCCGCAGCAGCCAAAAAGAGAAATATTGACCCACAGCTTGGCTAGTCGTGCGTAAGCGCTGGATATCCCTGGGGTAACGCCGAAGTCGCCGACTGATAGCAGCGTGTTTTGTTGACGAGTATGGAAGACTTTTTGGTGGACGTATCGCGGATTGAGCCTCATCATAATCTCAATACCCATTGTCTGAGTTGATATTGGCTCTTGTTGTTCAATACCTGTCCAACCATCCTATCCAGCCTTTTCCGAGATATTCCTATCCCAACTCTGCTCCAGGGCCACTTCCATTCCAGAAAAGCGTATCGATACTGGGTTCAGTTATGAGAGATCTGCTCTTGCCCTGACAGAAGGGTGACCATTGCGATCTCAATTCATTTTCGATTGAACTGAGATCATTCCGAAGGTACCTACATTCCTCTCCGTTTGTCCAAGATGCAATACTGACAAGTATTCGTTGGTTAGAACAGCAGATTGACCCGGCCTTTCGTTGTATTGCCTCTCTCTTCCCTCAGGAATTACATTGATGCTGGCCCACCGATCGACCCACTCATCGCACCTATACTCCTTTGTGTGACGTTGCTCATAGGAAACATCTACCGTTGATGACCTCCTTCCTAGACATATCGTGAACCATGGCCAACCAGACGAGGAAGCGCTCCGCTACTCATGGCCCCTCGTCCTATACCCCAGACGCCCGCCATCATGTTGTGGACATTGAGAAGCAGCCGCATCGCACACATTATACCCACTATGACCATCGCAGTTCGACAGAGTCGGAAAGCGGCGACGAGTCCCTCACCCCTTCCTCTGCCAGTTCGCGTCGGCCCATGTTGGGTAGTGCCGCCTCAGCGCGGCGCACTCGAGCCCCGGTGGGTTACTACCGTGTCCCGAACCGGATAATGCAATACCTGTGCTTCGCGCTCTTCGCTGCGCTAGTCTTGTTCATCCTCACCCTTTTTCGCTTCACCATCACCTCCAACGCAAAGCAAGTCGCCCTCGAACTGCCAAATACGGCGTCGAAACCGCCGCAATGGGAGAGCTTTCCGTTCCTGAAACGGTATCATGGTGGTATTCGAACATTGATCCCGCGCAATGAGTCGGTACCCGAATATCCAAGTGATGGAATGGAGGAGATGGTCCTGGGCTCTGACAATCACAAGGGTCGGGCCAGCATTGAAACCAGAGATCAGGCAGCGTTGATGTCGAGCTTGGTCTTCAACCCGTACCCAGATTACGCATCGGATGAGTACGTGAAGAAGTATGGTGAGAAGCGCGAATGCTTCCTCGACGAGCAGGAGACTATTCGCATTCCCCAGGTGCAGCATTACCCTGGAGTACCCCGTGGGTTTCCGGATGCAGTGATGGGGTCAAATAAGATGCTAGGTATCGAGGATGATGTTTGCTTTGAACGGTTTGGCCGCCTTGGTCCCTACGGTCTCGGATACAGTGTTAGGAAAGGTGGTATTGGTGCAGGCTTGGAGGGACACCGTGAAGGCGCAGAACGTGTGTGGGATGATTTGCCCCCCGTAGACTTTCGCCGCGTCGACTGGGCTGCTGCTCAAAACAGGTGCGTGGCCCTCAATAGCCACCGCTTCAAAGGCCTCCCTCAGCCGCGGCTTAATCGCTTTCTCTCCTTGCCCATTGGGGTTCCAAAGACCTCTTCTAGATCTCAGGAAAAGGATGAAGCGTCCCAGTCGAAAGCGGATCGTCTACCTCGAACGGCAGTGGTAGTTCGGACATGGCACGATTTTCACTTCACGCCTGATGACATTTTGTACTTGCGCTCGTTGATTTCCGAGCTCTCATTATTGTCCGGGGGAGAGTATACCATTCATTTCTTAGTTCATGTCAAAGATGGCAACTTGCAAATCTGGTCGGACGACGAAACCTACGAGCGCGTACTTAACGATGCTCTTCCAGAGGAATTCCGCGGCATGGGTACTCTGTGGTCAGAACAGCAGATGGCTCTCATCTATCCTGGGTTGGAAGAGACATGGACGCGTGGATTGCCTGTTCACGGTGTCTACCGCAGCACGTTCATGCCAATGCAGTATTTTGCCTACCGACATCCGGAGTACGACTTCTACTGGAACTGGGAGATGGACGTGCGATACACCGGACACTGGTACCATCTATTCGACAAAGTGGGTAGCTGGGCGCGGGAACAGCCGCGCAAATTCTTGTGGGAGAGAAATGCTCGCTTTTATGTTCCCTCTGTCCATGGATCCTGGGAGGATTTCCGACATACAGTTCGTGTACAGACTGAGAGCGGTACCAATAGCCCGAACAATGTATGGAGCGCGGCCGCCAAACATGGCTCGGACCCGTCCTCTGGAGACAAATCTGCTCTTCATCGTCAAGGGGACAAGCCGATCTGGGGACCCGAACGACCCGATGAGCGGGACATTTTTGAGGTTGATGGAGAAGGCATTCCCGAGACCACAATGGAGAAAGATCAGAACAAATGGGGTGCAGGCGAGGAGGCAGATCTTATCGTCTTCAACCCTTTGTATGACCCGGAGGGCACGACCTGGCTTCTTCGCGATGATGTGACCGGGTACAATAAGGAGAACGGCAAGCCTCCTCGACGGACGGCTATTATTACCGCCTCTCGACTGTCGCGCAAGCTGCTCCTCACTATGCACAAAGAGACCAGTCTGAAACGACATACCATGTTCTCTGAGATGTGGCCTGCCACCACTGCGTTACATCACGGCTTCAAGGCAGTTTACGTGCCGCATTCTGTGTACATCGACCGTCGCTGGCCGACGAAACACCTCGAATCCGTGTTCAACGCCGGCCGGAACGGCGCATCTGGTGGTGCTCGAACTTCTGTGTTCGGTGACCGTGAGCATAACTTCCGCGGAACTACCTGGTTCTACTCGGCTGGCTTCTCGCCGAATCTCTGGCGGCGGTGGCTCGGCTACAAGGTCGACAATGACGGCGGCGAGCAGGAAGAATTAGCTGGAGAGGGAAGAATGTGTCTTCCACCAATGCTCTTACATCCGATCAAGGATGTGGAAATGATCATTGACGACGGCGCGAACGAGATCCTATTAGACTCTACCGCCTAGACAGTACATATTTCTGCGATTCAATCATTTAGCATTATCAGCTCTTCTGCTCTGTACGTGTTTGTTTGCACATGGCGAAAAGAAAGGCGTCCGGCGAAGAGGTCTACTGTTTTCGTGTCATTCTTCTTGACTTTTTTGTATATAGAGGTTTTTTTTCCCGTGAGGCAATCTCACAGTCATGCCTAGAAGATATAATGTCTTGATGAATGTCGTTTGAACGTTGATTTTGGCTTGTCTTGCCTGTCTCTATGGTCTTGGATGTCCTATCCTATGTTGGGTTACTATCATAAGTTCATTTCCTGTTATGCGTGCAGTTTGCCTTTCATCCTTTGCGGACGTTGACATTGGTTGTTGACACTGGCCCTCTAGCCTCCCACTGAACCCTCGTTCACAGCTTTGCAACAACAGGATTGTGTGACACCAGACCCGCCTCAATGGCTTTAATCTGCAGCGCAAGGAACTTGGAATAAATCCGGCACAGGGCCAAGTTTCCGCCCATGAACCAGAATCCGGGGTGGCCACTTGGTCGCCACATCTGTCCATCGTTCATCAGCATCGATGACCAACAGTCCAGGAAGGATTCACTTACCGCATTGATCTCACCCTCCTCATCCAAGTCCCAGACATCCCTACACCTATCTGCGACTCGATCGCCCAATACCTTGCGCACAGTTGTTCGCATGTTGTCATATCCCGTCGCCAGCACGACAATATCCGCATCCAGTGCGCTCCCGTCTTTCAGGAGCAGGCCGCGCTCGCTAAAACCCGCTATCCCCTTAGGACTCCTCTTGATCTTGACCTTGCCGTCGGCAATGAGCTGGCTGCAGCCGACGTCAATGTAATACCCGCCACCGCGGGTCATGTAAGCGCGGGAGATGCCCGCCCCGTCAACGCCAAAATCGAGCTCGAAGCCGGCGGCCTTGAGGCCATCGAGGATGTCCTTTTCGGCTTCATAGGCGCATCTCGTGAAGTGCACAGCTAGAGCGAACTGCACCGGGTACGGGAGGGATTCGGAGATGATGTCTGCTTCTTCTGTGGGCGGTCTGGGTACGTTAGTTTGTTGATGGTCAGTTACCGTGTTAAGGAAGGGCGACGTACCCATTCTCCTCGTGCAGTCCTTCGTGCATCATCAACACCCCTTTGTCAGCTGTGATGACATACGTCCCGCTGCGCTGCAGCATGGTCACGTCGGCTCCGTTCTCGTAGAAGTTCTGCGCGATGTCATGGCCGCTGTTTCCGGTCCCCACAACAACCACCTTCTTTCCCTTCACGTCATAGTCGGATGCATCGTGGTGCTGACTACCGTGATAAACCGCCCCCTTGAATTGCGCCTGGCCCGGGAAAGTGGGGATCCTGGGCTCGCCGGAGTGACCAGTGCACCAGACGACGTGGCGAGGATGGAGAACTCGCTCCGAGCCAACATCGCCGCGGACGACGGTGACCGTCCACTGGGCCTTGGCGTCATCGTAGACAGCCGACTTGACGCTTATCTTGAGCCATACGTTCAGCTCCATGATGCTGGCATAGGCTTCGAACCAATCTGCGAGTTTGTCTTTGGGGGTGAACTGGGGCCAGTTCCGGGGGAAGGGGAGGTAGGCCATGTGTGTGAACTCTACTGGGTCGTGCGTTACAAGGGTCTTGGGTAATCAGCATACGTGCGGAACCGATATCAGGAAGTGAAGATGGACTCACTCTGTACCGCTTCCGCCAGTTGTCACCGATTCTCTCGTTGCGGTCGACAACGAGGCTTGAGATCCCGAGTGATTGCAACCGAGCGGCCGTATTGAGACCAGCCTGTCCTAAAGGCATGTCAGTAAGCTCAGTTGACAGTGATATTGCGAAGCAAGTACCAGCACCAACAACGAGCGCGGTAGGCTCCTCGTCTTGGAATTCAATCTGCCTCTGACGTCTCTCCAGCCAGTTTTCCTTACTTAGACTCCCCGGCATCGACCCGATGGTCCCCTCGGGCCGTCGTAGACCCAGAGGTTCTTCAAAGCTCTTCAACTCCTGCAAGCTCGTATAGAGCGAGTACGCCTTCCACACACCGGCCTCGTCTCGAGTCAGACGCAGCACGCCCGTGCCGCGTCCGACTCGACTCTCGAAGAAGAACATTGACGAGATCCACCGTAGACCCTCAACCGGGTTCTCGACTTTAGGCTGGAACCTGCCCTCGTGCTGGAGGCGGAAGGCCGTGAGTTGGGCCCGAGGCTGTTTACGGCTGATGTACTGTTCAATCTCGGAGACGTTGTGGATTGTGTGAAAGTCCCAGTCTAAAGCTAGCATGTCGCGCCACCACGAGTCCTCGTGAAAGAGGTCTGAAAGCTTGAGCTGTGAGACTGGCGATGTGCCCAATTGGATTTCTAGGTTCGTCAGCCATTGCTGGGCGATGTCGCGGGGACTTAGGGCCCCGACTGTTCTGGGGGTTACGGGGAGTTGTATCACGTAGTGGTTTTGTGCGAGACTCATTGTAGTGGTCGGATGTGGTTCGGTCAGTCCCGCAATCATCCAACGGCGATTCTCAATAGATATATCTGCTCCGTGGGGCAATGCGTATGAGTTCAGAGCCGGACACCGTCCGATGGACTCATCTGCATAAATAGAGAAGCATAGCTGCTGCACCTGACTCAGACTGAGCACACTCGGGGAGAAACCCGAGCGTTCGGGTGTATCGAGAACAAGGCTCTAGAGCTTTGCGGGGCGTCTTGCTCTACTACCGGTAGGATATCGATAGGGTCAAGGAGATGTGGGGATGGTGATCAGTCTCTCTTATATTCAATCGTGCCTGCTGATGAGGATTCCCGGGCTAAAGCACACCGATGAGGGGATACTGGTCTCTGGGTAGGTTTGCCGAGGGCCTCTACTCTTCATCATCTATGAGAGACTGGCTATCCCGTTCTCCATTTTATTCTAGATGCCATGTATGTATGTGTGATTGATTGTTGATTGTCCTCGAGCTTCCTTTACGTGGATATATGCTAGTGCTACTGGTGAAGAGTACAGAGGAACAACCCCATTTGAGTCTTGACGCAGATAGGTTGCAAATCTAGAGCGGATGGGAACAACGGAGTTTGACCGATGAGGAGCAAAACTGGCTGGGACTGGATCATAATAGGCGTGCTGCGGTCACGACGATGACGATAATGAAAGGCATGGATACCTCTACAGAGGAACGTTACCCAGGCTGCATTCCTCGCGTGCCCTTCCGATGCACAACATGATAACCGCGTCTGTTTCATTCATTCTGAAGCAGACTCTCATGATCTCATCAGATCAGCGATAATCAGAGCATTGGATTTTAGAATGCTACAGTCGCAGTCACACATACTGCAGAGTACAGATACAATGTACACCCGTGGCGTCTGGCCAGTGAGGAGAAGAGGCGTTCATTACCGTGGCAGAATGCCTACATTCCACATGGAGGGAATTCCGGCCAATGAATCTATTCATTACAATCAGACAGCAGGTGGCAGTGTAAAAATGTTGCTATTTCGATATCGACGAGCGAGTGGTGCCCTTTTTGTCGGTGGATTATCTACATCCACGCTCCTTGACTCCTCCCAAGGGTTGGATATAAACGCAGTCGCGTCCTCCCGCTCGCCCCTGCAGGAACCAAGAACATCCCAGGGATCAATAAGTAATCAATCGGGAATTTTAAGTGCTCCAACTATCGTCTCAGAGATTGGTTAAGCGGGCAGATTCATCGCGACCCGAGACAGCCACAACATGCAGTCCATACTCACAACACTTTCCCTTCTGAGTCTCAGCCTCTCATCAACGGCACTCGCCCTCTCTCCAAACCGCACCTTGGCCCCCGTCGTGACGAATAACCGCGCCAACGCTCTGTACGAAGCCACGCTCCCGACCAGACAGAACACCACCCTCCGCGGCTGGATCACACTCTTCGCACCCCCACAGGGAGTCGGCGTCAAAGTCCACGCCGACTTCTGGGGTATCCCCGAAAATGAAGCTCTAGGTACGTAGTGCCTTTCCTCGGCCCTTCCCCTGACTAACACGCAACCTGGGCAGCATACTACATCCACGAGAACCCCGTCCCCGCCGACGGCGACTGCTACAGAACCGGTAACCCCTTCGACGCCTACCGACGCGGGGACAAGACCGCCTGCAACATGACGAGCCCGCAGACCTGCCAAATCGGCGACCTGAGCGGGAAACACGGGCCCATTGTCACAGCGGATGATCAGGGATTTGAAACGCGGTACACTGACCTCTACCTATCGACGGAGCCGGGTGAGCCTGCCTATTTTGGGAATCGGTCGATAGTCGTGCATCGGTTGTCGGATCGTGCGAGGTTAAATTGTGCGAATTTTGTGCTGGTGGCTCGACCGGAAATGCCGGTTGCTCTGAAGGGCTGAGAGTATGACTTTGTCGAGATCGCCTTTGGTCCAAGATGGTGCCGGAATTTGATAAGGAGGAAGGATGTTCTCCTGTTGCCGAAAATTGACTCTGATTCATGGATGATATGATAGCTGCTACGAAGCTAATGACATGTTGATTTGCTTCCGAGCGTGACTCTGGCCTCATAGTGACTGCTTGACTCCACGTAGAGGTAATTGACTTGCAGGTAAGCCTCGCTGATGCATCCCAATTTCAGACCTGCCCTAGTTGTAGACAAATGGGATTCTTGGCCACAATAGTCCTCTGATTTCGAATGTGCCATGTATTGTCCGAACGAGACGCCGAGATTCTGGCAAGTCGCTGTGGCCAATGACTTGAAATCTCGGTCTGACCCTTAAGGAAAAATTTGGAGTATCGTGGGGTTGAACAGATCCAATGTCATTGATTTAGAGACCGATCAGTCAGGGGGATGCTCTTTGATGAGCAGCACGGAGGCTGCTGCTCAGTGTGTTATCGATGATTTCTGAACGACCCCTCCACTCAGGTAGGCTGTCCATCTAGATTTTCGAGCCTACTTTGGATAGCGCTCTGATCGTCTTGTCCCTCCACTTCCTGGTATTCCTGCAACACGATCCTGCGCATTAATCGCCGCGGAGCACGGCGACCCGTGAAGAGCTCAAATTGCGCGAATCCCTGCTCTGGGAGAACATCGAGCCCGTCGAGGGCAACCCAGCCTCGATGGGAGAGGGCGCGAATTTGCTTCATGAGTGGGGAATTGAGAGGTTTGTAGGCTAGCTGCATGAAAATATCAGCCTTTGTCTCTTTGCAGCGATGCCGAGATCATGTCACTTACCTCCACTACTACGCCTCCAGTAGGGCTCCCAAGCCACTGAGAAGGTAGCTGAAAATTGGGAGCCGGCACTCCTCCGATACTATGAGCGGGTATGCAGCAGCAAATGACGGTCGGTTGCTTGTAATCGGTAGGCCAGTTATCCTGCAAAGATTGCAGGACGTGGACTGTCGGGCGAGAGTTCGGCCCGCCCCATCCATGCGCCAGAAGATTCTGTCGGTTGTAGTGGTGAGCCAGTTTCTCTGCGTTGGCCATGGTACGATTGTAGACGAAGATGTTCTGCACCCCGAGGTGAATCATTGAGTACACTGCCGCCCGAGCCATACCACCGGCTCCGATAACCAAACCTGTGGACGAAGGACGGATCGCATTGGCTGGAGATAAACCTCTTCGGAAGCAATTTCCGATCCCAATCCAGTCGGTGTTATCGCCGTGCAGCGCCTTAGTTGGACCAGCCCGGCTCTTCTCAAGATGAAGAGAGGACTCAATAGCTCCATCAACACCACCAGGGAGCTTTCGGATCGGTATCAACGTGTTCACAGCCCCGATAGCCCGAGCATGCGGTGACATGGAGTGGAGAAGGGGAATTACTTCCGTCTTGTAGGGCAGACTGACACTTGTCCCGCCAAAATTGGGGTTCTCGACCAAATCATTCAACCCTCGCAGGGAAGGCGACTGATGGATAGTATATTTATGTGGCATCCCGCATGCTTTGTAGGCTGCATTGTGCATTGCAGGGGACAGACTGTACGTGACGTTCGCGCCGAAAACGAAGAACTGCATCGGATCCAGAGCGAATGAGGCGTAGAGTGCTTCTTGGGCTTCACGCAAGGTGATACAGGGTAATGACTTGGACTGAATCTCCGGTAACAGTGGTTGAGGTGTCACGGATGTGAGGACCGGGTTGAAGCAGCTCGACAATCTGCCCAGAGGGGCGGTATTGAAGGCTATCAAGGGTAGCTGCCATGGAAGACCTCGGACATGGTGACGAAATCTTTCAACAGCAAAATTATCCTCCATTGTCGTTGCCGGCTGCGTCAGTCGAACCACATCGCATCCTAGTCGCCTGGCTCGTTCGTACATTGTCAGTGGTTCCGCATCCTCCCAACCTCTTGGGCACGGATGGGACCATGCGAAATGCCCGATCACTTTGCTCGTCCCCTTGGAAGCAATGATCTGCGATAGAATGTCATCGCTATAGGAGAGATCAACCGTCAAGTACTCCGGAGCTAGTCGTAACCCGTGCTTGATAAGATTCAGGTATGCATCGTCCGCGCGGCGTAAGGGCCCGTTGTGTTGCACAGGAGAACCTACAGGGCTTAAACTACTTTCGACATGGTATATCAGGGGAATGATTATGTTTCGCCGGATAGTCGCCACAGCCTGACTTATTCTGTCCGCTAGACCCGAGTCCACGCCTGGGCCGTCGGAAGAACCTTCCGTTGTATCCACCTTGAGCTCAAACGCATCGGCGGTGGATTCCAGCTCTTCGATGTCTAATTCGCGCTCAAACAAGGATGACAGTGGCACGGTCACAGCGTAGGTAAACATACGAGACTCGACCGGCAGCATCGACAGCGGGAACGAGGCTTGCTGACCGCTCAGGATGGTAATGTCCCCTGTTGCAAAGGCAACAAATTTTAAGAAATCACGCTGTAACCGTTTGAGGGTCAAGAATGGAGTAAAGGTTTGAGATCGCTGATCGAGTTCCAACTCCAAAGGCGAGTGGTTATGGGTGTCTTTTCCTGCGTGGTCCGTGAAGCCCTTCTCGGAGACATTGAAAAACTCCAGGTTCGAACAAGCCCGATATACCGGGCCGGAAAGCTCCAGAAACCGCCGGACTTTGTCCGTATCCCAAGCTTTCAGATACGACTGAATGCTTTCGGGATCTCGAATAATGTGAATGACAGGATGCGTCTTCGCGTATTCCCGCAGCAATCGTTGCCCGCTGCGCTCCATGGATCCGGGCCCGCACGCAATGACACACCCCTCTTTGTGTTCTGCCAGCATCGACTCCATCACTCGGGCCTCCTGCTGACGATACTCGGTAAGATCATATTCCTTCTTGAACGCAGCCCGGGAACGTCCCGTCACCTGCTGGAAATATTGATCCGCATCAATCATTCGCTTCCCCGAGGTCGCGGCCAGAATGACAGCGAGACTGGATTTCCCAGTACCACGGATACCGACCAATACAATCGACGCATTAGGAGAGAAGATCCTCTGGGTTTGAGGAGGACTTCCGAGGCGTGTTGGGGATGCGCGAGTGGAATTCAAAGCGCGCGGAGAGGGAGAGTACCAATGATGTTCGCCAGACGCATCCGACTGTTCATGCCCCGGGCAGGACTCGGGTCTAGGAGGAACAACATCGAATTCAGATGCGAGGATTGATGATTGGGTCGTGTCTGAGACGATGCTATGGGTGCGACTGCTCTGAGCAGAAATGTGTCTATTCGGTGCCTCGAGCCCCTCAACCTCATCCAATTTGCGCTTTGCCGGCCTCACTAGGATCGACATGTCGTCTGAGGGAGGTTTTTGATTTGAAGATCATAAGCATTCAAGGACTCTAACGCTGCACATATTGAAAGAAGCTGGTTGGGGATAGTCTGGACAGCGTCCGAGTCCGAGGATCGAATCTTACTGTGTCCCTTCGCGCCTGGCGGCCTGAGGCGCTGCGGACAAATACTCTGCCGCGCATTGGCCGGAGAACTTTGATACCGTCACTTTACGTAATTTACCCCGCGGGGATCAAAAATGGCCAGTAATTGATGCCTGGGGCCACCATCCCCGGAAAGTTCGAGGTTGTCTGGCAGCATTTGCTAATTTTGTTCAATCAGCAAGCGATCATTGGAAGTAAATCGACCTGTACTATTTGGTGCCAAGCGACAGATATTCAATCTTACTCGTTGACATCAAATCGAGTACGGCAGCCGCGGGTAAGCAGTTGTGGTTCTCCCCGACCTCCCAGCCAAAAGAGTTCCCTCGACTTTCTCTTCTCCGCCCTCGACATTGTGCTTATTGCGAAAGGCGACACACATCTCTGACACGGCACACTCTATCTCCAATTGGTCCTAGCTTCATCTGTGATCTTTACCTGAGCAGGAAGGCTTGCCTTTAACGAGACTAGTTTTCTGTCCCGATTCCCCCAATACTCGAGCGGCAAGACACAGGTCGACCGATTGACATCGACGTCCGGCAAAGCATTCATCTCGGTGATACGGGCCAAACATGACCATGCGTCCAGAACGCTCTAGTGGCCTGTCGAATAGAAAATCATGAGCAACGATATGCGCCAAGCCCCCGGGGCCGGTAGCAAGTCCAAACGACGATTGACTGACGCCGACGAAGATGCCAGACACATGGCTGCTGACGACAATTCCGCGCAATCCAAGCGGCAGCGAGTGTCGCGTGCCTGCGACAGCTGCCGCTCCAAGAAGGATAAATGCGATGGGGTGCAGCCGGTCTGCTCGACTTGCGCATCATTATGTCGACCTTGCACGTATAAGACCAATCCCAAGAAGCGAGGCTTGCCGACCGGATACATTCGCACGCTGGAGTTGCTATGGGGACTTGTCTTTTGCAAGATAAAGGGGAGCGAAGAGGTGGTCCGCGCCTTGCTCAGGGCAGCCAATATGCCGAGTCACTTGGCTACTATGGGCAAAGAGGCGGAGGGTTCCGATGACCTTGTTTCTTCCTGGAAGAATAGCATTGTCCTCAAGGAGATAGAGCGGATGTTGACTTTCTTGGACCAGCCGGAAGAGGAACAGGACAAGGCAAGTCGAGGGCCTGGGGAGACGGACTCTCCTCCGGAAGCTGAGGGCAGCAGCGTGCTCTCCTCGGACACCCTCGAGTGGCAGCTGCCTGAAGGTCTCACAGATGTCCGTCAAGAATCACGGGCTGTTGGTCTATCTCCTTCCAAAACGTCCTCATCGGGACCGGTCCCCAGACACCTGTCACCTCGTACCACAAAGGACAGCGGCACCCAGACAGTCCTCTGTTCCGATACCACTGGCGCTGCTACAGCGAACCTTTTGTCGCAGCCGTTCATACAATCACAATCTTCAAACCTCCCCCGGCTTCCCTCCAATGTGTGGACGCTGCTTGATATCTACTTTTCTTACACTCAATGTTGGTTTCCCATTCTCGAGAAGCATGATATACTTCGAA